CACTGTCGTCGCAGGAGCATGCTAGTCAAATATTCTAGTTAACTGTTGGCTGAAAAAGAATATCTTGATATCAAGGGCTTCTTGCTGCAAAATGTGGTCAAAGTCTATTAGATGCATATCCTCTTCAAATTGTTGTTTATTAAAGTGTTTGAAACTTCTGTATGTAATTGATTTTAATGCAGGTTTTGGTGCTTCTACATATTACTGCTGCAACTATTTTTGCTTATTCTGGTTGGATCTGTAACAGCTTGCTTCAGGTTAAACATTTGTAGCAATGACTCTACATGCTTAGTTGCTTTCTACATTTCTAACTAATAGGTTTATATTTATGTCGCCCATCAAAATTACATAATCATATGACACTGCTAGAGATGATAATATGCTTTCTAAACTAGTGAGATGATTGTTATTCACCAATGGTGGCTTGTACAGCACACCAAGTAATATTGATTTACTTTTGTATTGAATGTCAATCCGCAATTGCTCGAGTAAGTTTAATGTATCCAACATTGGTGAAATATCGATTATACTACTCTTCATATAAGTTGAAATATATGCACATACATACATATTTGTAAATGTGTAGTGCGTAGTTGAATCAAAGTTGCTTTCCTCTATTTAGCACCTTTGTATTAGTGAAATAACCCTGGAAATAACTAATTTACCTTACCTTACCGTTTTTTATTTTGTGATTGTGTATTTCTAAAATGCATAAAATTATTATCATTATTATTAAACTCTGTATATTATAAATATTTCCAAAGACTTGTTTTCAGTATCTAAGTTCATAATATTTTCTTAATAATTATTGAATTGCGTCAGAATTAGGTAAGTCCATCACAGAAACCAGTCTGGTATTTAGGAAGAAAGAATGTTATTAAAAATGAGACAGTCAGATAATCTGTCCTTTGAAAATATCTCAATGATTTTGGCAAAATTCTTTTATCACCCCAGATTCATATGATTGGGGTTGCCTACAAGTTACAACATATATTTTAAATGAGGTGGGACCTGATGCTGTTTAAAAGATTATGTTTAAAATAAAGTCCTGGAGGATGATTCTTATTTACATTTACACTACTTTCTCAATTTTCTGTGGGCAAATGCCCTTTTCTAGTATGGATTTATTTTGTAACTTTCTAGAATATCTTGTCAGCTGTCAGATTTTTTTTCTTGATTTAAGTAGCCTAAGTTGTTTTTTTGGGTCACAACTCCTTCAAATAAAAAACTAGAGATCTTGGACGTTTCAGGTTCTCTCCTACTCTCCTACAAAGGAAGAAGAGCTACATCCCAGGTAGGGCTCAAATGGTACTACTTTACATCTCAAATCTTAGTATCATCAGCCGCCACTCAGGGTTCGCACCTGGGCCCCTTACTATTCAACATCTTTATCAATGATATTTCATCTTGTTTTAAGAATATTTTTTTTCTTCTGATGACTTGAAGCTATTTCTAAAAATAACCACTCCAGAAGACTCTTTAGTACTTCAAGAAGCTCTAGACAGATGGTTTGTTCTCAAATGCAAGGTCATTAAATCCCACAAGTCGAGAAACTTCAATAATTGTGTCTATCACATTTGATGATAGTCTATTAGGCTGCGTGGATCAAATCAAAGACTTATTATTAAATCTAGATTTTTCAGCTTATATTGACAAAGCACTAAACAAGGCTTTACGCATGCTTGTCTTTGTGCAATGCAGGACAAGGGGCTTCTTGACCATAAATGCTGTTAGAGCTTTGTAATGTCAGATCACATTTACAGTTTGCTGCTTCAGATTGCTGTCCTAATTATGCATGCCTTATCCATTGGATTAAAACTTTTCAGAGAAAATTCTGCAGATACATTAACTACAAATTTCACGACAATAATGAATTTCATTATTCTGACCTATGCAAATCATTACACTTAACAACTCTCTCCTGTAGAAGAAGAAGAAAGCAGAGAGAACTAAATCAAAAACTCATAAACTCAAGTATAAATAGATAGATTGTCCCTATTAAACTTCCAGAATTGGATTACATGTTCCATCCCGGAACACTCGTATTACACCATACTTTTCACCTCGCTTTTCACCAACAGTTTCACAAAACTAATTATGCTTATCACTCATTCATTTCTTGTACCCTCAGACTGTGCAGTGGATTATCTGAATTAGATTTCTTTGGTCATTGCGAATCATTTGTGCGAACTATCGAAGGGCTAACTTCACAAAAATCAAAAAATATTGATGTTTTTTTTTTTTTTTCTCTCCTGTCTAAAAACTGTTAATAGCAGAATTACTGTCTTTGACATTGATTTGATAGTATCTTAACTTTATTTAGTTTCTTTGTTTTCCAGTGTAGGTAAATAATTTCTGGACAGACACTGAAATTATTTCTTCAACTTTTTGGATTCTGATAGGGAACACAAACAAACAAAATTCTCGAGATTTGTGCGAAAGTCCTTATCTAACCGAATGGAAGGATTGAATTGATATGTGCTGGTGTTACATTCATGACTGACTTTGTTTTTGTAGGATGAATGTACGTTGCAAAGGTCAACAACAAAAACTGCTTGACCGGGTATAATTTTACGTAATTTTGAATTTTAATCTATGTATTGTAGTTTACACGCGCATTCTGTTGTTTATACAAAATATGTACCTACCTATTGTTGGGGCTTAGTTAAAGATTTAATTTGGCTTTTGAGTAGCACGTTTTTGGTATGTAAATTATGTATACTTATTGCACTCCTTTTAAAATAACTTCAGTCTGTGCTACAATAATAGCTGTGGTGTTTGAATTTGTTTTTATTTCATATCATTCCTCAATTATCAGAATTTGGATTGTGGAATATCTATAAATGGTATGAATGTCTATATTTTATGTATGTGTATGTGTGTGTGTGTGTAATGTGTGCATGTGTCTATTCGACGACACGAAGGTACAGTTTATTTTTGAATGTGTAGTGTAGGTAAATAATAATTTAAATTTTCCAATGGCAAAATTTACACACAATTACCTAAAACCAGTTTTCTAATAAGTACTTAATCATAATAGTTCAAATAAAAAGAACATTTGCTTAAAATATCTGTTCATTGAAATGTTATTTGGCATTTTTAAAGTATGTACATACATATTTAAAATAGTTATAAAAGGCAATTTGAGTGGACATGATTATGATGCCACGGGTTTCTTACGAGCCTTATAATTCATATAAATATACAACTGTGGCATACAATTTTAATGTTTTTTTTTTTTTTTGTATTGCGATGCAGAACCATGTTAAAAAATCAATTAGATGACAACTCTGGAAGCATTGCCTATATTTGAAGTACTTCAAATTATATATCTATTAATCTATTTATATTATTGTTCTGATAAATTGGAGATTGATTTTTATCATAAATTTTATCTTTGAGATAAGAAGTCTTCTTAATCTTAATTGCCCTATATTTGTATCCATGATGTCGTGGAATTAGATTTTATTCAACTCTAGAAGTGTATTTTTTAACTGGCTCATCATGAACATGATTAATTGTAATCCTGATCCAACTTTCAATCTTATTGACAGAAATAGTGAGTATTCTGAATTGGGTGGAGAGTTTTGAATAATCTGTTGATAAAACTGGCTTCCGAAAAAAAAAAAACAATACGAATAATCAGTAAGAGTTAGTTGAAAAAATCCATTAGCTAATAAGAAGTTAAATTGTTCATTTTTGTGTCCGTTGCTCTCGTCAATTTAAATTCAGATTCAAAATGTGCTTTATTATCAGAAGATATACATCTTATTGATAAAATTAAGGCAGAAATATGTTTCTTAAGTAAATTAATAACAAAAAAAAATACAATTTAGTGAGACCCACCAGATGTTCTGAATTAATAATTAAATATATTTGTATACAAATGATTCGAGCAATAGCAGTTCCTATGCAGTTGGCGGCAATGTCAATAAACTGTGAAGTGTTTGTAGCACTATTTACTTTTGCTGACAGAGTATTCCATTGGTTCACTACTCTGTTGATGAAAAGGAGACGCTCTGATCTAAGTTTGGTGGTTAGCTTTCGAGTAAGGATAATATTAAGGTGTAACAAATAAACGTTGCAGATATTAGAATGGAATGATAACACCATCTATTGCATTATGAGGGTTTCCCAATAATAAAATCGCAGTGGACAACTCCCCTGCGACAGGGTCGCAGTGTTGCTTGAAACTTAAGGTGATGTACTTAGATGAATAGGGGTCACCCTCTGAAAGTTCCCTCAAGCCCAAAGTACATCTCCATTGTTTCGACATTTTGCTTGCAATAAATCCATAAATTGTAGTTGATTGAAAGTGAAAGACCTCTCAACATGTGACCGGTCTTAACTAGAGGCATTTTGTCAGCAAACACCCAGTGTCTCAAATTAGAAGACAGATTCACATTATTTACTCAAATCAAACTCAATGAAACAAGTTGAAAAGAGTATGTTTATTCATCTATTAAAATCGTGGTTCGCTACGTATTGATCAAAATCGCCCAATATAACCTGATAACTTTGTATAGTACTGGGCACTACTCATCCTGAAACAGCAGCAAATAATTTCTCAAATATAGTAGCTAATATTCATAATCAGTATAAAAAAAAGAAAATCAGTATAATTAGAAATCGCAAAAAAATCAACCCTATAAAGTTCTGTTTGCTGTCACTTAGAATGTTTTGATTAATTTGTCACAATATAATGATAATTATTATTGATATGAATTTTAAAATTTGTATTTGATCAGTAAAAAGTAAACTGTATAAAATTTCAATGAGTTTGCCTGCTAAGTTTTTCTACATGCATGAAAGGGACATTGTGCTTAGGACATAATTTTTCAATAAATTTATGAACCTGATATGTTTTCACAAGCTAGCAAGAAAAATTAGCATATTATATAAATTACATTCAAAAGCCAGTATGAGGATTAGTAAAAATCCACGTATGTTTTATTTATTAATTTTTCGAAAATGTTATTTAATTATTTTTTATATTTCAGCAATGCCTTGGTTTGGCATGGACATTGGGGGTACCCTATCCAAGCTAGTTTATTTCGAGCCAAAGGATATAATGCAAGGTGAATCTGAAGAGATAGATATATTGAAGAATATCAGAAAATATTTAACAAAAAATTCTTCATATGGAAAATCTGGGCATCGAGACACACATCTGCAGGTAGGCTCTTCAAAAACTTACTGATAATATAAAGTAAATAAGAAAAACAATAACGCATGTAAAATCAAAAGTTTTAGAACTAGTTATTTATGTATCAAATACTCGATCAAGTCATTGAAAATTTAATTCGAAAATATGTTATAGATGGATAACGTAGTATTACGAGGACTAGTAGGAACAATTCATTTCATCAGATTTCCAACGTCGGCAATGAAAAATTTCTTAAATTTAGCTAATCAAAAAGGCATGGCTAAATTGGTAACCACAGTTTCGGCAACCGGCGGAGGAGCTTTCAAGTTTGAAGAGGATTTCAAAAGAGAAGTCAATATGAAATTGGCGAAATATGACGAGCTGGAAGCGCTGCTAAAAGGGTTGATATTCATCGACAAAAATAGTCCGACAGAGTGCTACTATTGGAGCAATCCAACGGACGACACCAAATGTGCCAAAGTTAACTACGATTTTTCGAAACCTTATCCATTTTTGTTAGTCAATATTGGTAGTGGAGTTAGTATTTTGTCAGTTAAGAGTGCTACGGAGTGTAAGAGAGTATCAGGAACAAGGTAAGACTTTTAATCACATGAAACAAAACCAAATCAAAATTATTTTGCAGTTTGGGTGGCGGAACGTTTCTTGGACTGTGCTGTCTTTTAACTGGGTGTAATACATTTGAAGAAGCTATTAGCTTAGCAGCTGACGGAGACCATACTCATGTCGATAAATTAGTTAAGGATATTTATGGGGGCGACTACGCCAAATTTGGTTTGCCAGGAGATTTGGTTGCAAGCAGGTAAGCTTTGTTTTTCAGTGTAATACACTTTTTATTGTTGCATTATGAGGCAGCTACAATATTATTCCTTTCGGTTTATTATATGCTGGGTTTTCGAAGCCCATGGTAAAAAAATGTGGCTTCTCCATGGGACTGCGTAAAGTATGAATCAAGCTACCAATCCGATTTCCAGCTGATTTTATTACGAAAAACTATGTCTAATTGTTAAGCTCCGCATTGATATGACCAAAATAAACAGTATTTTCTCGTATAAAAACACGTTTCCACTGAAAAATTGGCAACTTCTGTATCTGCAACTCTTCCAAAACACCGATTTTGTTGTAGGTATAAATAGTTGTTAAGCCCTAGATACCAGTGCGTGCCTACACTGCATAATACGGATCCAAAATAATGGATATTTCTTTGGTTTCATCCTAGTTCATCTGAATCAGATACATCTTCATTCACTTATTTCTGATTCTGATTCAAATGTACTATCGTCTCTGCTCCTCGCACTGCCTAGTACCTATTTATTCTACTTTCCTTTTCAAGTACTTATTGCCTTGGATTCCCAACTTTTTTTTTTGTGTCTTCCTCAGGGACATTCCTATAGCTCTTAACACTCGATCGACAAACGACCCTGCTTCTCTGAAAAGAACCAAATTAAAGTTGAGCCCTGAATAATCTCTCAATTATAGCAGATCGCAGTTGCTAAACTGTGATGTCTGCAGGGACGGAGGACGGAGCCGTTGGGGGGGGGGGGGGGGTTCTAAAATATATCGAAAGTTGGGAAAACTTGGATAAAAAATTTAAAGTTGGGAAAAATTGGTAAACAAAAATGTGCACACCTTATTTGCGAGGAATAATTAAAATTAACATTAGGATCGTGTCACATGTCGTGATTCGTAATGAATTGCAAAATCACCAGACAACAGGATGACGAAATCCCAATGGTCGCGGCGATCTTTTGACGAAATCGTTTTTATTTTTTTCTCACTTTATTTGAAATGATATCGCAAAATAAACTCCACATTCTCATTGCCACTTTTTTTCCACTAAATGATGATGTTATTAGATTTTTGATCAGATGTTTCGTTTCTTGGCGATCATCATTAACTCATTAACTTTGTTTTTTCAAATGGTCGAATTTTTTTATTTTATGCCCAATAAACTCTACTTTTTATTCTAAATCCAACGACATATCAAGCTCATAATTCCGGGATTATTAATTTCTACTAGTGGTCCCATCAACGAGCCTCCGGGATCTCCAGTCATTACACCGATGGATTTTGTCTTTTGAGGATTTCTTAAGAATGAAGTTAATTGACTTTTCAGAATCCATCAGTGTAATGTCTGGAGATCGCGGAGGCCCGTTAATGGGATCACTAGTGGAAATTAATATCCCTGAAATTATGAGCTTGATATGTCATTGGATTTAGAAGAAAAAGTAGAGTTTATTAGGCATAAAATAAAAAACTCGACCATTTGAAAAAACAAAGTTGATGATGATCACGAAGAAACGAAACGTCTGATCAAAAATCTAATAACATTATCATGTAGTGGAGAAAAAGTAGCAATGAGAATGTGAAGTTTATTGTGCGATATCATTTCAAATAAAGTCAGAAAAAAATAAAAACGATTTCGGCAAAATTCTGTTTTTCATGGATATCTTCGGGATATGTAATTCGGAATGTACGAAATATCAAAACATGACGCCACTGAGCTCAATAATGCGCAACTCTTTCCAAATTTAACCAACCCTGTATCTCTTGGTTACCGAGATGAGACTGCATCCTTATCCGGGACACCCTGTATACATGTCAAACTTTTAACAGTTTTTGAAGTGAAACTTCTTAGGCGACGGTCTGATATTTAGACAAGAATATGGAGAGTGATTCGAAAAACGCATCACATAACGTCATGTTTTGGCAAATTTCGTTACACGAGAGACGAGAGAGAAGGAATATATAGTAGACTGTAGAGAGACGGAGAAAGCGAGCCAATGACAATCACAATCACAGACGAGGAACGATTGACACAAACCAAGGTTTATGAGCAAAGAGGATTGCCTATTGTTGTCAAGCGCAGATACCCTTGTGACGCCACTATAGATGCGCGTCTCCCTTTTGTGTGGCCTTTCGTCTTTACCCCGACTCATACGCTAAGTCTAAAGGCTGTATGAGGGAGGGTATAGTTTTTAAAAAGTTTCACCTCCCAACACGTGCACATTGCTACACATGATTTTTCTTAAGTTAAACTTGTAAAGTGTACTGAAAGACGCGTCACGTTAACGTAACGACACGTTTTGGCAAATTTCGGCACACGAGAGACGAGAGAGAAGAAAGATATAACGTAGAGAAACGGAGAAAGACAGCCAATGACAATGACAGCCGACGAACAATTCACACAAACCAAGGATTATAAACGAAGAGGATTGCCTATTATTGCCAAGCGCCGTTACCCTTGTGACGTCACTACAGATGCGCGGTTTTTTTTGTGTATCCTTTCGTCTTTAAACTCCGACTCATGCGCTATGTCTAAAAGTTGTATGAGAAACAGAGCTGGGCAGTAGCTAGCTACCAAGTAGTTAAGCTACTAGCTTAGCTACTTTTTTGGTAGCTAATAACTTATTCAAGCTATTAAAAAGTAGCTTGTAGCTGTAGCTTTTGGTAATGTGTTTCAAGTACCTATTCATAAGCTACTGTGAAAAGTAGCTAGCTACTAAAGCAAGCTACTTAAGCTACTTTTGGTAGATAGTTAGTAGTTATTTAGGTATTAATGGCGGAAAGTGTCATTTACCGCCTGAGGGTGTGGTTAACGATACTTAACGCCCAAAATACTTATTACGTTTTATGCGCAGCGAACTCTTCTAGTTCAAAAATGAAATAACTATACCTATAATATAATAGTCAACCATCCAAGGACCTTTTTTTTCAGTTATACATGTAAACCCCATACTTTGTGAGTGGCTTGCTTACATCAAGTCCTACAACTTTTCCTCTACGACTTTTCTCGGAAATGGCACGTATGCGCGCAGGCGACTCGCAAACATTTTAGGGGTATCGGACTCCCCCAATTTGCCATTATTTTTGTCGGCCAAGTTGATTTCCGTTATTTAGAAATAAAAATCAAACATTATTCGTGAAATTAGATTTTCATGTATCAAGAAACATAACCACGTCAGATCGACATTTTGGGGGTATCGGACTCCCCCAATTTGCCATTATTTTTGTCGGCCAAGTTGATTTCCGTGATTTAGACATAAAAATCAAACAGTATTCGTAAAATTAGATTTACCTACATGTATCAGGAAACATAGCTACGTCAGATCGACATGTTTGCGAGTCGCCTGCGCGCATACGTGCCATTTCCGAGAAAGTCGTAGAGGAAAAGTTGTAGGACTTGACGTAAGCAAGCCACTCACAAAGTATGGGGTTTACATGTATAACTGAAAAAAAAGGTCCTTGGATGGTTGACTATAATGGCATCCATTCGACATTGTTTTCAAAAATAAACAGTTTTCCCCTTATAAAGGCACGTTTCCAGCAACCTATCGCCCGCGTTTGAATTTACCGCTCGATAAAAGTAACTTTATACTTTAATTGCTCAAGCTACAATTATTATTTTCCAGAAAATTCTTATCCTGCCTGCTTGCTTAGACTAGTTTCTAGTTATCTCTGTAGATACCTATGTTTTATGTGTCCTATTATTCTCGCATTCGCAGATCACTGTGATCAAAGTGAACCTAATAAATTAATGTCCAGTGGTTTTTGACAAAAATATGAATACTTCTTAGAGAAAGTTAATATGTTATTTCCGTATGATGATATGAAATTAAATTAGGTAAGGTATGTACATTGATGGTGGCGATTGTGCACGCTTTTTTGTTTTTATCAATTTAGCTTTCAAAAAAGTAGCTTAAATAGTAGCTTTCAAAAATTCAAAATGTAGTTAAGCTACTGATAGCTTAGCTACTTTTTCAAAGAGGTAGTTGAGCTACTGAGTAACTTAGCTACTTACAATATAAAGTAGCTTGTAGCTTGTAGCTAGCTACTTTTTCCAAGTAGCTTGCCCAGCTCTGATGAGAAAGGGAATAGTTTTTGAAAAGTTTCACTTCTTAACACGTGTACGATGCTATATATGATTTTTTTTATGTTTAAAAAAAGTTGGGAAAATTAGGAATGTCACCCCCCCCCCCCCCCATACCAGAGGCCTTCGCTACGTCCCTGGATGTCTGAAGAAATTCTGTGTTCTTCTGGCAAGTCGGATTCGAGAGATGTTTTAAGATTCATATTTTCACTTTTATGATCCACATCATTGTCATACTTTAGGTCTGTTCTCACAGAAATCACATACCAGTCAGCGAATTTCATTGGTTGAAAATAGTCAGAAAATTGGTTTTTGACGATTTGCACCAATCAAAAACGCTCTGACTGGTTTGTGATTTTGGTGAGAACAGACCTAATCTTCATTACGTTCTTCTTCTTCAAGTTCTATACTCTTCGTAGTCTCGGGTTCAGTTATTGGGAAACTCGTTGGGATATCAAATTTATATTAAAAAAAAACAAATTGTCTAGCACTCTCTGTTGCCTAAAACTAAGTCTTGAAGGCAAATATACAACTGACCGGTACCTACGCTGTATCGTTTAAGGTCCAGTTGTACAGGATGGCCCAAATTCGAGTCTCATCATTGGGATCTCCGTAACCGTAAGAGATACGGGGTCGGTTAAATGATGGCAAAGTTGCACAATTTTATGACCAGTAGAATGCCGTTTTGAAACTAGAAAGATTCCGAATACTTCCGGAGATATTCGGAAAAAAACGAAATTTTGTAAAATCGTTTTTATTTTTTTCCTGAGCTTATTTGGAAAGCAATTTCAAAATAAATGTCACTTCATCATTGTCACTTTTAACCCTTTAGAAGATGGTGCTACTGAATTTAAAATTCGACGTTTCATCTTCAGGCGGCCATCCTCAACTCCTCAAGATTTTTTATTTGCGATTTTGTCATCTTTGGGCAT